GGGATGTAACTTGTAGATGGATTTGGTGGATGAGCACAGAAAGAGGATTGCACTGTTGTGTAGGTTTGTTTGTAGATTAATTAGAAAGACTCGGTTTGCTTTAAAGTTAATTAAAAAAAAGTATGTATAAAAGACATTTTGGTGTGTTAATGAAGTGGGCAAGATGAGACAAGGACTACATTTATATCAGAAAAAAATAAAGTCTTTCTTTGGGCAGAACTTGGATGAATTTCTACGTAATGTTTCATGTGCTACAGATATAAAATATATGTTAACCTAGGAAATAGCAATTAGGATATATATCTTGGACCATATTTGGAAGAAATCCATTGGTCAAATGCAAATTAATTTGTCAAATGGAAGTTGCTTTTCTAATTCCTGGACTTGAGCACAGTTTTCTGACCAGTCCAGGTTTTTAGGCAGTCTTTTGGAAGCAGATATAACACACTAGGGATGGAATCAGGGTTATCTGTGTGTCAGAGGGTTGTTTCTTTGGAACAGCAGTTTATGAAGATGCTTATCTGTGCCAGATACAAATAAATAAGTATAAAATAACAGTTACAGCTGGGATACCAATGAGATTGGGCTCTGTCAGTGTTGCCTGGAGGAAAAAAAACCTTCTGGAATTCTTAGGGTGCTGAGGAGTTACACCAGGACAAATACTCCATGATTGCAGCTTGTTCAGGAAACGAGCAGTGTCTCATTTGAAGTGGTGGTGCAAGACCTGCAGTGGAGCGTTTGACAGCAGGGTACAACCCCTGACACCTTGTGGTGGCTGAAGGCACCATCAGGAACATCCCTCTGGCTTTAAATCTTATGTGGTTTGGCTGAGAAAGAAATCCTGCCTGTCCTGGCATGGTTTGGGTGTCAGCTTCATTTAAACTCACGGTCAGACACCATCTGAACTCTGCTGAAGTGTAGAGACTGCTTTTCTTTGCATTTGTTTGATAATGGCTTGGACCAGCAAGGGCCTGAATTGTGTGTTGTTTTCTAAATTGAGAACAATTTGCTGTCTTTATTGAAAGGATCCAGCACAGCCTCACTTTGCCCTTTCCCTCTGTGCAGTCCGTACGTGCTTTGTGAGTGATCTCCAGCGTGGGCTGAAGATCCAGGCAGCCAAGTTCAACATTGATGGCAGTGCTGAGGTGGGTGGAGAATGAAGCTCATCCTACTCTTTTTGAGGTGGCTGGAGCCTTTTTGGCCTCTAAAATATCACCCTTGTGTTTTTATTTCCAGCGTCCTTCACCGCCTCCAGACGTGGACTATCCTTTGGATGGAGAAAAGATTCTCCATGTGGTTGGCCCCATCAGGTGAGAAATGCCATAACAGAGTATTGATCACTATGAGGATATATCTCAACTCTAAAAGCACGTTAGTTTGCATAAAATTGAGTTTTAATGAAACACTTGCATATGCTTTTAGTGCCTCTTAAATAAAGGCTTTGTGCTGGGCACAGTGCAGGCCCAGCATGGGAGGTGGTGGCTTCTCCAGAGCTCAGAGAGGAAGGTGAGAGCAAGGAGATTGGAGGGGTTGGGGAGGAGAAATGGTTATTAATGCCTGATGATGGGGCAGATTTAGTGACATGAATGAGGAACTTTAGCCTGGAGAAAAGGAGGCTCAGGGGAGACCTTTTCACTGTCTACAGTTCCCTGACAGGAGGGTGGAGCCAGGTGAGGGTTGGTCTCTTCTCCCAGTAATAAGTGACAGGATGAGAGGAGATGGCTTCAGGTTGCACCAGGAGAGGTTTAGATTGGACATGAGGGAAAAAGGCCTTCATTGAAAGGGTTAAGCGTTGGAACAGGCTGCCCAGGGAAGTGGTGGAGTCTTTTCCAATCTTAAGGATTCCATGATTGTCCCCTCCCCGTTGGCACTGCCCAGTGCTGGGCTGTGTGACAGAGGTGACAATGTGCTGGCAGCAGGAAGTCTGAAGTTATCTCAGCTCTGCTGCTCCTGAGTTCAGCTCACAGTGTGGTTTTGCCTCTCCTTAACACTCACTTTCCTGCCTGTTCCACAGAGACTCCGTGGTGGAAATACTGTTTGAACAGGATAATGAAGAGACATCTGTTGCCACTTTGATCTTGGATTCCCTCGTTCAGGTATCTTTGTATTAAACAATTTATGGAATTCCTCCAGCCTTGGAGGTCCTGCAGTTATAAATGACTCAAGACTTTGAGTCCTGCAGGCTGCTGGTTTACCTGAGCTGGAATAAAATTAATTTGGACATCTTTATTACAGGCAGCATATTGGATTTATTGCAGAAAATTTTCTTGGCATATACAAACGCTGCAGTTCTTATTATATTTAGGAAAAAAATGCATTAGAAAACCACTTTAAATGGAAATTTTCATTATGTGGTGATGGATGTGTGTTAATTAAAGTTGACTCCCTGTAGTTATTGATGCCATTTAAATAAAGTTTGCTGAGACATAATTTATTGGAGAGCCACAGACCTGGGCTGACATGACAAACACTTCAATTAGAATTCCTTATGCAAACAAATTGTTTAAGGAGATCTGTGCCTGGACCCCTCACCTCTGCACCCCCAGGCATTTCCCTCTGGCTTATGTTGATTATGTTCCAGTTAATTGTGAGAAAACAGCAATTGGAGGGGATGGAAATGGACTGAATGTCTAACAGACCTCTGAATGCACTTCAGGCAATTCCAGTTAAAATGATTTTTTGGGGGTTTTGGTTTTTTTTGTCTCCCTGTTTGCATTAGTGCCCCATAGACACCAGGAAGCAGCTGGCAGAGAACCTGGTGGTGATCGGGGGCACCGCGATGCTCCCGGGATTCCTCCACAGGCTCATGGCAGAGATCAGGTACCTGGTGGAGAAACCCAAGTACAAGGAAGCCCTGGCCACCAAAACCTTCAGGATTCACACCCCACCTGCCAAACCCAACTGTGTGGCCTGGCTGGGAGGTAAGAACAGGAACAACGGAGAGGCGAAGGTGAAAACAAACCTTCCAAGTGAGATTTGTGATGAATAAATACCAGGACAAACGAGGTGAAGTGTTGAAATCGAGCTGCAGTGAGCTCTGGGGGATTGTTAGTGTGTGGAGTAAAGCTCCCTCAGGGATATTTGGAGGGCACTGAGGGTTGTGGGAGCTTTTAAACATGTGAGGAGCAGTTGGAAACAGGCGGAAGGGGAGGTGCTGGCTCAGGTGCAGGGCAGAGCTACCTCCATACTAACAAGGCAGAGCAGAGATTCCTACTTGTGAGATAATCTCCTTATGGAAAAATCAAGTTTAATCACTGGTGGAGGAGCTATGGAAAGGCTGCCAACTCCCTGTGCTGGTGCCAGTAACAAACACCATAAACTTTTAGTTTTCAAACCTCCTATTTTTAGGATTAGCAAACCAGGACAATTTCTAGGCACCAAGTTCTTGATGCTTTTCTTCCCTGGCAGCTCTGATCAACGGCCCCAGGCTGGACCTTCTCACAGCTTGTGTGAACTTGTGGGACAACTTTTTGGGGAGAGGAAATTGCCTTGAAATTGCCTTGAACAACCCCCTACAAAGGGGGTTTGGTTGAAGTGCTTAAAATAAAAACTTTCAGGAAACTTTGTCATAAGAAGTTGGTTAACCAGGCCAGGTTTGCTGTCAGCAGAGAGTAGACGATTCTTTGTTTTCAGTTACTTTCAAGGGACATAAATGGAAGCAGTTTGGGATTAGCTGGGCTACTGAAAAGGAAAGCACCTATATCCTTTGATTCCTTTAATTTGTGGGACAGAGCTGAAAAAACCCAACCAGTTGAGATTCTTGATAGGAAGAATTAGAAAATGAAATTTGGTACATCAAATTAATGCAGTTTTTTTCTTCCTTCCCAATAATGCAGGAGCCATTTTTGGAGCACTCCAGGACATACTCGGGAGCCGATCCGTGTCCAAGGAATATTACAGCCAGACAGGCCGCATTCCCGACTGGTGCTGCCTGAACAATCCTCCTCTGGAAATGATGTTTGATGTTGGAAAAGCACCCCCACCATTGATGAAAAGGGCTTTTTCTACAGAGAAATAAGCACCTACGCGTTACACAAGGATTCTGCACCGTTTCAGATACATGTGCATTGGGTTTCGTTTTTTATGAAGTACTTTGTGTGTAACACTATTAAATATCAACAACCTGGATGTTTTCAGGGAGTGTAGGCACTAACATTATTTAAAAACATGTCCAGTTATAGTTTAAAAACTTCACTCTGGCAACTCCTGTGCTCTTTTGTCTTGTTCTGAAGAAATTCTGCACTGTCATGAGTTGTACCCTCCTGATTTGTTTGTTATTTATCTGTATAGTAAATGGCACTGCTGAAAGAGTTTGTTTTGAGAGATTTTAATTTTAAATATACTTAGAAGAAGGAGGGGAAATATCCATGGAAGGAAAATATCTATGGAAGGTTTTTTTCTGCCAAGTTCTGCATTAAAATATTCCACCCTCGAATCACCTGTGAGGAAATGGTTTGGGGCTGTTCAGCAAAGGTGGTGGGACATTATTTGCCCTTCACACCATCCTGTTTTGAGAGTTTTAGCAGAGAACTCTTGTGCCTGTAGTTCTGATGTAATGCTGAGCTGAAAACTTCCAGTATCTCTCCTCCAAGAAAGATTTCAGAATTATAAATTGTAATAAATTATTACAAATTAATTGTAAACAGGGGTGTGAGGGCAAACTTGACTCACTGGCTCGCTGTTCTGTTTCATATGTGCTTTGCCTTAACACATGGTGTTAGTTGGCACATGGGAGGAGATGCTCCCTTTTAATTTAATGCTTTTCAAATGAAAAAAGCTACAAAACCCAGGAATTGCTGTTTCAAATGTTAGAGTCTGTGTTAGGTGAGACTTTGCTGATTGGTGACGGAGGTCTCAGAGTACTGACAAAGATTTCTCCCCAGAGGTGCTGGCAGAAGCTGTGTTTTTAAATTGCCTTCTTCCCACTTGGGATGAGCTGCGTGGCTGTTACACGGAAAGCATGGAAAATCACACAGGTGTAGCTGTGAGAAGTTGTTTTATAGTCCTGGAATGAGGTTGGTTTTTTAGTTCTGGTGGGAGTAGAGGCTGGATAAATGGACACTGTCCCATTGCCAGACACAGAGCCAGCCTCAGGTGTCCAGAACACACAGGCCCAGGCTCTGCTGCTCATCTGCAGTTATAATTTGAGTAATTTGGGCTGCACCTCCGTGACCCAGGTCATGTTTTACCTCAATAAGAACTGAGCCAGAGCTTAGCAAGGCTTGCTCCCGAGAGGAGAGTTTTCCATCAGCACAAGCCCTGTGGAGCTGGGAGGGATTACTCGTGTCCGTAAGGTTCTCAGAGGGAAGGATGAAACTCCTATGGAGCCCCGTGGTCGTGGTGGTGCAATGATGTCATTTTCCTGAACTGCAGCAGACTGCAGCTGAGGAAATTCAGGATATTCTTAGCCTTTTTCAGGATATTCCTGTGCTGCTGTGCACGTGTACCCTGGAATTCTCCTGGCGTGTTCTGCGACCTTGTCTTCGTTCTGCCCACACAAATCCTCTCCTGTGGGGTTTCTGCATCACTGAACAGCTCCAACAGCTGCTGTTTCTGGCAGGACCAGAATTCCTGACTCCCGTGTTACTGCTGGGCTGAAGCACAGAGTCCTGGGACCTGTTAAGGACATAAACACGATTCTTAGTTCATGGGAGGGGTGAGAAAGACTATTAATGGCTTGCCCTGGGAAGCCCTTGGAGATCACACCCTAAATGTGTAATCATATGGAAAGGGGGTTGGCTTGTTTTTTTTCCAGCCTGACTGTTGTAGTTCTTCCCTCCCTGGCATGGCAGAGATCCATGGATCCTCACAGCAAATTCACAGTGAGCACACATGATTTATCCTGAAGGACAGTGGCAGACACAAACCTCTGCAGTAACTGGAGGATTTTCCTCTAAAGTTCCTGGTTCTGGACTGGATGCCATTCCATAAGATGGGTGCTAGCCAACTGCAAACAGCTCCAGCTGAGTCCTGCTGACAGGAAGAATATTTTATAATATTCACGAGCCTGTTATGTCTGCCTGTGTCTGTGCTGTGTCAGAGGGAGCTGGTCCCTGGGAGAAGGGGCTTTACCTCATTCCCCTCCTCTCCCTTTTCAAAGAATTAGGGAATATCTTAAGTTGGAAGGGACTCCATAAGGATTGTAATACCATAAGTCATAAGTCCCCATAAGTCCAGGTCCCTGCAGGAATACTTAAACTAAGTTGTGTGGCTGAGAGCATCATCCAGAGCTCCTTGAGCTCTGACAGGCTCAGTGTCCTGAGCACTTCCCTGCAGTCTGTTCCAGTGATGGACCAACCCAAACCATGGAGTCCCAGAGTGGTTTGGGTTGGAAGGGACCTAAAAGGCCATCCAGTTCCAACCCCCTGCCATGGGCAGAGACACTTTCCACTGTCCCAGGTTGCTCCAAGCCGCATCCAACCTGGCCTTGGACACTTCCAGGGATGGGGCAGCCCCAGCTTCTCTGGGCAACCTGTGCCAGGGCTTCACCACCCTCACCGGGGAGAATTTATTCCTACTATAAAACCCCAGATCCCTTTCCTTGTGGCTGTTCTTCAGCCCTTCTTCCCCCAGTTTGTGTGTAACCAGGGTTACCCCATTCCAGGTGGAGAATCCCACCCTGGTTGTTATTAAATTTCCCTGGGCAGTTGCTTTCCCAGCTCTCCAGGTTGTCCGTGTATCTCTGTAATCCCTCCCTGCCCTTGAGGGCGCCCACAGCTCCTATTTCATTAACATATTAATTTCTCCGATTCCCGCATCCCGCTCATTTATTAAATAAAACAATTTTTTTCAGGGATGCAGTGTTTAGTAGCCAGTGCCAGGATTATCACAGCTCCTGCTTTATTACGTGTATGTCATTCCTGCATCAAAATCACTTATTAAAAAGAGCATTTTTTTTCAGGCATGCAGCATTCAGTGCCAAGATTATCCCAGCTCCTACTTTACTATGTACACGTCACTGCTGCACCCAGCTCACTTATAAAAACTAATTTTCTCGGGGATAACAGTGTATTAATCACTTCCACAGACTGTATCTGCGGGATTCCCTCAGGAGCCTCCCGGTTCTCCGGACGGTGAATCCCCCTCAGGGATGGTGGGAGAGGGTGGCGAGGCGGCATTTTCCCGCCGGGAGCGCTCCAAAAGAGTGAGGGGAACAAAAGTAATGCTCCCAACCCGGAGCAGGCTGTGAATCCCCCTCAGGGATGTTGGAAGAGGGTGATGAGGCAGCACTTTCCCGCCGGGAGCGCTCCTAAAGAGTGAGGGGCACAAAAGCGATGAGCCCAAGGCGGAGCGGGCGGTGAACCCCCCTCAGGGACGGTGGGGCGGCGTTTTCCCGCCGGGATGCCTCCAAGCGGGTGAGGGGCACAAAACTGCTGCGCCCAGCGGGCGGCGGAATTTCCCTCAGCCCCGCGGTGCGTGGAGGCGGTGGTGGTGAGGCGGCGTTTTCCCGCCGGGAACGCTCCAAAAGGGAATCGGAGGGGAAGGCGGCACAAAACTAATCCGCCCAACGTGGGGCTCGAACCCACGACCCTGGGATTAAGAGTCCCATGCTCTACCGACTGAGCTAGCCGGGCGCTGGTAGGGCCTGCTACAGGCCGGGCCCTTCAGCGCATGACGCGTGACGTCACACCCGGGGGCCGCCGCTCGGCGCCCAATGCGCGTGCGCGGTGCTGCGCGGTGCGCGCGAGCCGGGCCGGGCTGGGAGCGGCGCCGCCATGAGCTCCATCGGCACCGGGGTGAGTGCGCCGGGATCGCGCCGGGATCGCACCGGGATCGCCGGGATAGCGCGGCTGCGCTGCCCGCCGGGACCGGCCCCCACCGCCCCCGAGGCCGCGCTGCGCCGGGGTGAGGGTGAGGGGGGTGGCCGCGGGGCGCTGCGGGAGGGCTGAGTCACTGCGGCCCGTGAGGCCCCGGGAACCGGCGGCGGGGGCGGGGCGGGGATAAAACACTTATTATACTTCTGTGCATAATATACGTTTGTGCATTTCAAATGTGTTCCTGCTATCAGGAATTGTAAAATAAACGGGGGCCCACAGGGAAGCCGGAGAGGGGCTCTTGGTCGGGAGTTGTAGTGAGAGGACAAGGAGTGATGGGTGGAAAGTGGGAGAGGTTGGGTATTGGAAACTGAATTTAGGTTGGATATTGGGAAGAAATTCTTCCCTGTGAGGGTGGTAAGGCCCTGGCACAGGTTTGCCCAGAGAAGCTGTGGCTGCCTCATCCCTGGAAGTATCCAAGGCCAGGCTGGACAGAGCTTGGAGCAACCTGGGATAGTGAAAAGTGTCCCTGCCCATGGCAGAGGTGGAATGCGGTGGGCTTTAAGGTCTCTTCCAACCCAAGCCAGTCTGGGATTCTATGAAATGTGAAGGCGGACAGAAAGTTCCCATAAGTCTGATCTATTGTGTAATGCACAGTGATTTCAGACCCGTTCAGCATCTGGATTGATGGGATTTGCAGTTTCATCCAGCACTGATGAAATGGCCTCTCCTGGCTTTTAGGCTCTGTTTTCTCCTGTCTCTGTATGTCCCACCCTGCTCCTGGGGTGCACAGCCATCTCTGTCAGTGACAGCCCTGCATTTTTAAATAAGTAGACTTGATCTTTAAACACTGGGATATGATGTGTTTGGGTTTTTTTCCCTGAGCATTGTGTTTTCTCCTCCAGTACGACCTGTCAGCTTCCACATTTTCTCCAGATGGCAGAGTGTTTCAGGTGGAATATGCTATGAAAGCAGTGGAGAACAGCAGGTAAGATACAAATATCTGCACCTCTGTCTGTTTGCTGGCCTCTTTTAAAGCAGTGTCGTTGGACTACAGAAACATAATGGTGTTGCAGGTAGAATTATGATGTTAAAATTAGTTCTGATCTAAAAGCCCATTTTCTGGATGTGAGTTGAGGCACTGAAACATGCTCAGGGCTTCCATGTGTAAAAGCTTCCTAGGGGTTCCTCAAGAAATGGAGGACATCCAAGTTCTGCTAAAGGTACATCAGCTCCTCTGGGAATATCTGTCTTCCCTGGAGTTTGTGCAGAGGAATGTTGTGAAGGGAAAATCCCAGTGAGATGAGTGATTGGCAAGGCACAGATGGATCACCCTGGTGTCTGCTCGTAGCCACAGGCTCCAGATAAGGATAAATCACAGAATGGTTTGGGTTGGAAGGGACCTTAAAGATCATCTCATTCCAACCCTCTGCGATGGGCAGGGACACCTTCCACTAGACCAAGTTGCTCCAAGCCCCATCCAACCTGGCCTTGAACACTTCCAAGGATGGGGCAACCACAGCTTCTCTGGGCAACATGTTCCAATCAATCTGTTC